CACCCTGCCCGGATGATGTACAGAGGGATGATCGGTGGACAATACCGTAAGGGTATTTGTCTGTAATCTTTCTGTAATCTACCTTTTAATCTAAAGCTAAAGCATTATCTGGTCTAATTGATCCCACTGCTGTCCAACAGCTGTCAAGATATTCTGTTGTACAGTTGATTTTACAGGGAGAGACTGTGATGTTTAGATACCTTTGGCCCACCAGTTCTACAAGAACTACTGAATTTCTGTGATGCCATAGAGAGTAGAGGAGGAAGAAGCTGCAGCACTGTGCAACAGTCAGCATTGAGGGCCATATCCCCTAAGGGAGCACAAAAGTAGAATGTGATGCCCCGTGAGATGTGGGACTGCTGTTGTGACTGAATGCAGCCACAATTTCCTATTGTAATTAAGTTAGAACTTCCACAATCCTCCTTGGATGCTGAGGTGTGGCCCAGCAGCAGCTGTAAGTGTAGAGAATAGTAAGAGGATTTACTTTCCCTGGGGCTTTATATTGAGTTCCAGTAAAGGCATTACCTTTGCTTTCCACATCCCACTGGAGTAAACTGTACTTGCAGATGTGGCAGTCTGCTTTTTGAAAAAAGGTGGTTAGTCCTTGTTTTTTTTCCCATGTCAGATATTAGCAAAAAAACGTTCTCATTTCATCAAGGGCAATTCTCAATTCAATAACGGCTGTGAAGTGCTTTGGCTGCACAATCCTAGAGAAGAAACGGGCTTTCTTCTGTAGTCATGGCACCCACTTGGCAGAAAGCTGTATCCCCTGTCTCCCCTGCATCCCCTCCAGTTGCAGCCACCCAAACTGAGCTCTCAGGGGAACATGTGACCAGCCAGGGTGTGCTCGAGCTTCCTGTGAGTCAGGTGGCAGCAGCATTTTCTTTCAGCCTTCTGGTAGCAGGGAGCAATACTGACAGGAACAACAGACCCAGCTGATCCACATGTGGCTCCAAGGCTGGTATCACTGACACAGTTTTGTGTTTCTAGATCATAGGATGGTCTACACGACACCAGGCCTGCTGGCATCTAATGGGATGCACATTTCTCATGGCATTTTTGTACAAGAGTTACTGGGGCTGATCAGTAGAACTTTAATGCAGATTCCAGGGGAAAAGGAATAAAACCAGACAAGCAAATAATGGAGATGTTGTGGTAGGAGTCTGCTATGTGCCACCCAGTCAGGACAATGATAGCAATGAATTATTCTTTAAGAATCATAGAATGGTTTGGGTTGGAAGGGACCTTTAAGATCATCTACTTCCAGTTCCCTGCTATAGGCAGGGACACCTCTCACTAGACCAGGTTGCTTAAAGCCTCATCCAGCCTGGCCTAGAAAGCCTCAGGGAGGGGCATTCACTGCCTCGCTGGGCAACCTGTTCCAGTGTCTCACCACCCTCACAGTAAAGAATTTCTTCCTGATATCTAGTCTAAATCTACTCTCTTCCAGTTTAAAGCCATTTCCCCTTTCCTGTTTCTACATGCCCTTATAAAAAGTCCCTCCCAGCTTTCCTGTATGCCCCTTCAGGTACTGGAATGCTGCTACGTGGCCTCGTTGGAGCCTTCTCTTCTGCAGACTGAACAGCCCCAACTCTCTCAGCCTGATTACTAAGAGCTTATTACTAAAGAACTAAAGAGATACCTCTGGATCAGCTGCTCTTGTCCTTAGGGGTGACTTCAACTTGCTGCTGCAAACCAGTACAGGACATTCATCCTTTACTTTGATGATAACTTGTTGGTACAAAGAGAGCTCACTAAGGAATGTGCTCCTCTTTTAAATAGAGAGGGTTTATATGGGTGAAGTTGCCATCTAGATCATAGTGACTGGGAAGTAGTTGAGTTTAAAATCTTTGCTAGGAGGCAAACTACCACCAAAACTTCAACCCCGAATGTAGGGAGAGCAGATTTCAGGCTGCTCAGGAAACTAATGAACAAGGTCTCCTGGGAAACTGCTTTTGAAGGAACTGGCAAGTGTTGCTCTTCCCCAATATTTGTAGGCAAAGATTCTTTTAGACTTTTTTTACTTTTTGATTTTTTTAACTAAGGCTGGAATAGTTCTCAGTTATCTGTGTAGTGACTCACCTAATTTAAAAGGAAACATCATAATCTTGTAGCTTCATTTTTAAGTATATGAATCCCCTCAGAATGATGAGACTGTCTGGCACAGAAACTTCAGATTACCATGAGCTTCAATTATTTTCTTTTGTTTTGTGTATGTAAAGTCTTGAGGCTTTAGTATATGTATTAATATATTAAGATTTTTCTTTAAAAAATGAAATTGTGTATGAATTATGCTTGGTATTTATTATTGGCTGCTCCTTTCCAGCAGAATCTTTTTGCAACTTGTATATTGGAGCAGGCAACCAACCTCTAGTGAGATTGTTCCAGGAATGAAACATTTAAAGCAAAGAGGGAACTACTGAAAACTGTGAGGTTTTTGAAACCTGGCTTAAAAGCACCTTAAGGGCATTTTGATTTTTCTAGGCTACGAACCTTCCTGGTAATATAAATCAGATGGGGATCTATTTATTTATCCGTGTCTTTCTGACATTGCAAATGTCTTCACCTGCTGTAATAGAATATAAAATAAAGGAAAATTGTTATGATTTTTTGGAAAAAATTGTCAGAGAACAAGTCCAGTGCTGCCTAAACATGTGTGGGATAGGAGGATCAGCTACGAGAACATGAAGATCTAGACTAAATGAGCAGGAAAGCACATTGCCCTTATACCCTTCTCCCCAGTCTGAGACAGAGCTGAAGTTACCTAGCTCTAGCTGGCTCTGACAAAGTCAGTGTAGTTTTGATAGGACTGTATTTAGCCTCTAGTGATACAGCAGAGCAACATATTTTTAGAGTTAAATTGCTGTAACATTTCCAGTACTTCTAAGAAATTGATACTGTCCTTTTTTTCTCTTCTTTTCTTTCCTTATTAACTGCAGACCACTGTCTAAAAATTCTCCCTTGAGGTTTTTGAAAGGCACGTGCCACGACACACATGTACCATGCACAGTGCGTGCCACATGGGAGGCACTGAAAGTGTCTCAGCACTCACTATTGCGCAGTTGGCTGGCTTCTAAAGCACTGCAAGAGCAGCCTTCTGCAAACATGATCTAATTTGGTATGTGTCCACACCCTTAGACACAGTTCAGAGTTCTGATTACCTCTTCCCAGAATAGGTATAGCAAAGGTAGACATGAAATAAAGGATTGACAAGAATTATGTGCCACGTGGAGCAGTTTCTGTGTGGGAGAAGACTACGCAGGAATCAACTGAGATGACTGTAAAGAGTTGCAGTTGGATAGTTGTTCTTGGTTTATTTACAGACCCCATCATCTCTCTGTGTAATGGCTTTCAAATTGCAATGATGTTTTACATATGAGCAGTTAAAGCACATGCAGAGTGATGATCTGACTGATACAGTCTATTTACATTTCCAGGAGGCTTTTGACCGTATTTCCTATGAGAATTTTTGATGGAAAGGTAAAGTTAAGAAAGGTTACAGCATGGACACATATCTAAAAGACAGGACAAAGAAGGCCATTGTAAATGGTCAGTTCTCTGTTCATGGGTTGTTACAAGTCAGCTTCTGCAGGGATCTGTACTGCTGAAAATAAATGATGTGGAAAAGGGTGTGAGTACTGAGGTTAAGAAAGTTTGCTGAAAGTTTCTTCCAATGTGGTCTGGGTTTATTTAAGGCTTTGCTTTTATTTTATCTTCATATACTTTGGAAAAAAAATAATCAAGTTCCAAACATTCATAGACTAGCTTGTATTTATGAAGGAACTTTCCATAATTTCATTATTCAAGCAAGTAAACTGTGATTAATAGTCCAGCTCATTGATGAGTACTTGGAAAAAACCAAGTAAGTACCAAAACAAATACTCCATGCACAACAGGTACGAAATACTGAAACAAATCATGTTCAACAAAAAGTAAGTATAAGCAGACAGAAGCCTAGATTCGTTGTCCTCGTGGTGACAGCTGCAGGAGGAGCAAAGATTTCTGAGGTTAGGTTTGGACCGCGTGTAACTAGCTGTTCTTTCAATTCTAGTCACAATTGTAGGCTGCCTTGTGTCACAGAGAGTGTGTGTGGCAGGGGTGCCTGGGTTTTTTGTTTGATCCATTGTTTTAATGAATTTTTAAAGTTCAATGATGCCGAAAGCTTACTGTGATGTGCAAACCTGATGATAGGTGGGTCAGTAGTTGTGAGGCATGAGGGGATGTCATACCTGCGTGGCGGACTGGCTCCTCTCTGAGGCTGGGAACAAGCCCTGCTCCTCACTGCAAGGACCGCTGCCCTCCAAACTCAGCACTGAGCCGAGCAAGCCCTGGGTGGTTGGGACAGTTAGCACATCACAGGGCTGAGGACGTGCAAGATGATCAAGGGCAGCTCTCCCCTGCGCTGGGGAGCCTATGGCTGGGCCCAGCGCTCCAGCTGCGGCCTCCTTAGAGCTGAGCAGAGGGGCAGGATCAGCGCCCTTTGCACGCTGGCAGCACGCTGGCACCTCGTGCAGCCCAGCTCAGCACTCACCTTTGCGGGCAGCGCTCCTTGCCGGTTCAGCCGAGAGTCTGGCAGGACTCCTGGGTCCTGTCTAGCTGGGTGGCCCCAGCTGCAGTGTGGCCCGGAGGTGTTCCACCCCAGGGGCAGAAATTTGCCCTTCCCCCCGCTAGTTTAAATGGCGGGATCATTGCAGTAACTTGTACTCCATCTCCGACTTGTTGAAGCCCTCACGTGTTTTGTTAGCACTGCCATGAGTGCCGATTCCTGGTGGTGGAAATAAGGTTGTGTTTCTACGCCCTCCCTAAGGAGCGGAATATGGAGGAAGCATCATGGGTAGGGACAGCAACGCCAACGGCCTGGTCAATAACACAGAGACTTTTTCTTCTTTGTTGTAAAAGATGTTCATTTTATTTATTTTGTCTGCAAGCAGCAGGCCGAGAGGTAGATGTTGTCCTCCCGGCCGGCTGGAGCCGTGCTGTGACGGCAGTGCGGTGCCGGCCTAGCGCCGCCGCCGGGGCCGCCTCTTGCGGGGTGGGGACGAGTCCTGGCGGCTGCTGCTGGCCTTCCTCTTCGGGGGGCGCCGGGGCCCCCCACGCGAGCGGTTCCTGCCCTGGGTGGAGGGGCCCGCTGCCGCCGCCTGCCCTGGCTCCTCCTGGGGCTCCTCCGCTGAGGGTGCGGTGGCGGTGCTGGGGCACCCGGGTCCCCCAGGAGAGCTGCCGGGCAGCTCCTCGGCGCTGGGCCCTGCGGGGCTGGTGGAGCGGCCTGGGCCCAAGGCGGGAGGCTCCTGATGGGAGGTGCTGCTGATGGTGCTGGCTGCAGGGCTGTCCTCCCGTCCTCCAGCAGCATGGCTGTCCTGGTGGTCCAGCTCATGGCGGATCGTGGGGCCGTACAGGGCTGCTGCGGTGCTGATGAGCCTTCTCACGAAGGGCACCACATTGCCGTCGGTGATCGGCTGCAGCGCCTGCAGCAAGGCCTCCTCGTCCAGTCCATGCTCACAGAGGAAGTTCATGGTGGTCCACTGTCCCGCATGGACTTCCCACCAGTCATCGCTGGACTGCTGCTGGATCTCCTCCTGCAGCCATTGGAGCAGGGGTTCGAGGTCTCCCTGATGTTCCCTGAAAAATGCAGCCCAGACCTCAGCTGGAAAGTTGTGCTCAGGTGGGATGAGCACCGGCTCTGCAGGCCCCTGCTCCTCCTGCAGGCCTTGATCTTGGTCTGAGTGCGCTGCGGGCTGCGGGACAGCACACTCGAGGAAGTCATCATCCGACCTCACCGAGTATCGGATAGTTCTTATTTCGTGCCCACATACGGCACAACTCGGCTTCTTGTAGGCCCACCAGATGGCACAGCCATAGCACAACTGGTGTTGGCAGGGGGTCATGTAGGTGACGTCCTCCCGAATTTGCCCACAGATGGGGCAGACCCAGTCGGATGCCACGTTCATGGCCCCGGGCTGTGCGGTGGGCTGGGGAGAGCTGAGGTCGGGAAGCTGCTCCCCTCACTGGTGCTGCAGCAAGCAGAAGGTGTTACGAACTGCAAAAGAGAGAGAGAGCCCACGGTCACTCGCTGCCTCAGCAGCAAACCTGCCTGGTCCCTGTTCCCCACCAGCTGCTGCAGGGGCCATGATGTCCTGCACCACTCACCTCTGCCGCTACAAGCGCACCCTGTGCGGCCCCAGCTGCCCGAGGCAGGCAGGGCTGGGGGAAACGCTGCTGATACTGTGGGACGGGCACCAAGAACTGGTGCCAGCAGCCCCACAGCTCAACGCAACCAACTCGCTCAGTGCTCCAAGTCTCGCAGCTATGCTCAACTGGAGTCCAGGCACGAGTGCACGCTGGCCTCTGCCAGAGCCCAAATCTATACAGGAAGGGCTAGCGAGGTCACAGTCATCTCCATTGCTGACATCACAACCCCTTGGTTGGTGACCTCACTGTCCATCGCTGCATCTACTGGGGCCCCAGCTTGGACCTACATTGCCCTCCATCATTCCATGATTTTGTTTTGTAATTGTGATAGACTTGGGGAAGTAAAGGTTTTACGTATTTCTACTGCGCGTGTAACTTGTAACCAATTTGTTGTTAGATGGTGCCATAAGATAGCATGGCAAAGCTTGATAGGTCCAATATGGTGCAATGGATGCTGCTTTGGCTGTCCTGAGGACCAGCTCCTCACAGTTGCTGTCTGCCCACACTGCATGGATGATGGACCGCATGCCCTGTTTGCAGTGTGGGCCCTGGGGCCTGCTGCTATTGCACGGCTGGGTGCAGTGGAAACAAAAATGGTGGCAGCGTGACATGGTGCAACCATGCTGTCCCACTTCTCCAGGTCTGTGGGGCTGTAGGTATCTAATGTCACCTCCATGCTTCCACCAGCAGGAGATGCTGTGACAGCAGGTGTCACGCTGGAAGAGGACAGGAGACCCCACGGGCATGGGCCGGCCTGGGGAGGGTCCCTCAGGAATCCCCCTCCAGCTGCCGGCGTGAGGCATTGCCACGCTGCCTACCTGCGCTGCTGCACGCGCCTCTCCGCGATGTCCCGGCTGCCTGCTGCCAGCAGGGTCGGGATACAGCAAAGTGGCTCTGAGACGGCGTCTGAGAGCTGCGCTAGCAGCACCCAGAGCACGTTTCAGCTCCAAAGCTCGCCCTGTCCACACTCCAGTCCTCGCACAGTCGCTCGGTCGGAGGCCAGGCACGAACTGCCGGGCCGGGCTGCCGCGCCCGCGTTCAAGCAGCGTGGGCCAAGCAGTCACAATGCGTCGCACGGAGACGTCACAAACCACGGCTCGGCCGTGTCGCCAGTGCTCACCTTCACTGGGTGACATCACCACCCGTCCCACAGCGATGTCGCCGTCCATTGCTTGCTCATCACCGTGCGCTGGCCTCACCTGCTGCACGCGTGCCAGCAGCACTGCAGCCCCAGCACACGTTCCTGGGCTTTCCGCAGCACCGCTGCCCGCTCCATTCCCCCCACATCTCGTGTGCTCAGTGTCAGTGTTTCCCACCAGTCAGTGGCACCCGGGCCGTGTCTTCCCACAGGTCCAGTGGGTGGCTCTGGCCATGGCAGGCAGCCCCAGGCTCATACACCATGAAGGTTTATCATTCAATAAAAGTTCACGCTTCCCTCTGTCTCTCGGACTGGATGATCTTAGAGGCCTTTTCCCTTGTTAATGATTCTATGATTCTATGCTACCCACATGCATGATCGCTGCTTAGTGAAGCTTTCCCTGACGTTGGCAGCATTCCTTCATTGATGCATTTAATATTTTCTATTTGATCTTCAGTGTGTGCTGGTCTGGTCTGTTGCAAAGCCAGCTACTGCAGAAGCAGCATAGGGCTGCTATTTAGTTTGAGCAGGGTAGCAAAAGGGGACCAGTTTTGACCAGAACGGAGAACTAGAGTTACTAATAGATTTTCATTACTGAGATACTGTGTAGCCACCGGAGCAACTTGTCAAAGTGCCGTGGAATTAACTGACCACCAGGGAATAGGATGTGAGTGTGCCTTGCCTGATTATGGCCTGCTATGCAAGAACGTGGGGCAGTCGCAGGTGATGATGTGGTTCCAAGTCTGTAAGCAAACTTTATTTTTCTTCTATTTGGAGTCTCAGTTGAAGCTCCTACGTTTCACAATACTTGGCTGGATCTTGGCCTCGATGAAAGCATTTCAATGCACAACCTAAGGCTTTTTTGCTCACTGTTCATGTTCATGTTCTTTTTATAACTGTCTTTTCTGAGACAAAGGTTCCTTCTGTTGGAAACTTTATTGCATGGCTCCCAGTCTGATAGTAGTCATATTAAGCTGTTCTCCATTTTGAAAATTCATGGAATCATGGAGGGATCAAGGTATAACTTCAGCGTTTCAAAAATTTAGGAGATCACTAACGGCTATATGCTGTTACTGGGTTTGAGTTTGATTCTTTGCACTTCTGTGTGTTCTCCTTCCTCTGATAAGTTCCCGCATTTGTCACAGTGGGATGGGTTGGGACAGGATCTACTTTTGTGCGTTTGTCTGTGCACTTTGTAGACATGTTGAAAGAGGTGAGCAGAGACAAAATCGCAGTTTATATTCATATAAAATATGTTTGTCAGAAGTACTCGTGCTATCAACCAATTAGAATTCTATTCCAAAGAAGCAGAAAATTGATGTAAATATTTCTCTCAGCACACAATGTGTATGGGAACTGCTGAGTCACGGCCTGAACCTCTGGTTGATCACCTGAGGCGAGCAATGAGTCAGCCATGGAAGCACAGGTGAAGGCAATTCTGTGCTGCCGGAAGGGGTGGAGCCTGGCTGCACCTCTCCTAGACCTATTTAAGAGCTGAGTACCAGTGGGGAAGGATTTTTTCTGGCAATGTGCTCTGATGGAGTTTCACCAGTAAGCCTGGGATATGGGTGAGCATCCTTTTCTTTGTGCTTTGGTGTAATAATTATGTTGCTGAGTGCTCTGGTATACCTCATAGCTGTAACTTCTGTACATTCGTTGATTGTACACCATGGCTGCAGACTGCAGTTTGCAAAACAAGTTCAATGGCTTGGTAGAATCTGCCTTTTTTTGGTTGGTTAGCTTTATTTTTCTGTGCTTTTGTTTATTTATCTATTGTCTTGGAGGTGTTGGAGAGGTCGGCGTGCTTCTCTTTGCAGTAGGCTGTTCAAAGTATTTGGTTAATGCAGGCTGAGGTATTTTTCCATGAATGAAAGGAATGAGGGAATCTCAGTATGTTTTCTTTCTGTGTATATTCTGGAATAGGTTGATGTTTTTCAAGGTGGACCTGATGAAAATCCTCCACTTTCCAAGGACGTGGTGGAATCCAGTTGGTAGTCTGTATCTATCCAAAACACCTATAGCCAGCAGCTCCTCTGATTTGCTTGTGGGCTATTGCAGGACTGGAAGTGGTGAACCACTGTCCTTTGTTTTCAGTGCTGCTGTGATGGTTCTATCTCTGTTCTTCAGGGCAAATGGAGGGGAAGGAAACTGTCAATGCTGAGTGTGTGGCTGAAATGAGGAAAATAATCTGCTGCTGCGTGGAGAGAATGCGAGTGATGCACTTAAAAGGGCTGTAGGTGAAACTGGTTAAAAGTGACTGCCAATGCTGGCAGGAATTGGTTTGGGAATTTCCATTAATGCTGTAGTAAAATTGTTCTTGTTGAGTATGTGTAGTCATCATTCCTCTGAGTAGTTTAAGGTTCTCTCTGGAAAGTGCTGGACAGCGTAAGATGTGTGCTGCCTCCGTGAGAGCACCCACACTTATATCCAAAAATGCTTAAGAAACAAGCTTTGAAGACATTTGCTATATGTGAATGTCCTGGTCTTTTCTCTGCCCCTCGCTGGTGAGTGGGCTGAGAGCGTGCCGCTGGAGATTGTTGTTCCTTCTGTGCAGGGGCTGCAGAGCTCTCTGCTCCTATTAGAAGGGAGCAAGGCCAAGTCATGCAGCAGGTAGCAGCTTCAGGAAAGTCTGTACAGGCTGAAGCCTCCTCTCTTGTAAGAGACTGGGAGTGCTAGCCATGCAAAAGGGACTCCAGCATAAAGCGTGAGTTAAGCATGGGGTTCACTGAGGTATATGCTCTCCATCTTGCATGAGGATGACTGATTTCAACTTAAGTACATCAACAGTTGCTGCTCCGATTTGGAGCTACAAATAATAAAGCCTCCTAATAGACATTTAAGGGTGTGCTCCTTAAATGCAGTTTAGCTCTGATGTGGCAATCCTCCTAGTTTACCAGCTTTCTAGGCTTAATGGAGCTGAGTAACATCCCAAATGACACAATCAAAACATCTTCTACTATTCAGATGGTTCTCTTTATAAGCCTATGAATTTTATAAGAAGCAATATTAATTGAATTGTATTTGATTGCTTCAAATAAATGATAGAATTAGCATAATTAGTGTGAATTTAGTAGACATCTGTGATTCAGCTATTCCTGTGTCTCATTTTGACTGTACAGATGTTGCTTTTAAAAGAGCCTTATGGGAGGTACAGGTAGAGCTTCCTTCAAAATGTAACAGGATGCGAATAGAGCTCCTCTATACATCTAAAACAAAAACAAGAAGTGTTATGCATTGTCTATTTATTAAACCCTCGGCCTCCTCCTTTTCAGCTGGGCCCCTGGTGTGTGGCGATATAAAGTAGCGTTTTACTTACTGCTGGTAGGAACTCTGGCGGGAGCTCTGTTAGCACCAGCCCAAACTTTTTTTTAGCCCCTGCCTCACAAGGCTGGAATGGCTGCTTAAACCCAAGTTCGAAGCCTTTGGCCTCCAAGTGCTTTAATTTAGCACTATTTTTGCTCCTATAACCTCTGTTTTTACTGCTTAAGCCATCTAAGGTTTCCTTGTTTTGCAGGGGACTAAGCAGCTTCTTCTTAAAGATAATCAAAATGAAGGCTTGAGTATTTTTTAAATGACATTTAAACTTTGGTTTTGTCTTTTTATAACTTGTGCAAAATTGCTTTTATCACTGTTGCCCAGCTTCTTGAAAATTTTATGTGCTTTTTCTTTTTTTTTCCATAACTGTATTTCAAGCTTGTTTTTATGGTTTAAAAAAAAAAAAATGATTTGCCAGATGTTTTTCAGCATTTTTATCCCATAAAATTAAATTTTTCCCAGGTGTTTTTAGGTACAATTCACAACAATGTAACTAAAATAGTGATTCTTCTGATCCCCTTTTCTCAGTAGGAAGATATTGAGAGTCCAGAGGAGACCAACAACAATTTCCAAAGCTAGTGCCTTCTCTCTTAAGAGTAACTAAGCAGGGTAGGACTTCACAGGAAATAAACTATTTAGGAGAGAGAGTGATGCATGTCTACAAAACTCTGTCATGTGCATGAATGGATGGAATTGATCATTTGAATGGGAGTAAACAAATGAAGCTCTCAGAACTGGGTGCTTCTCCCCCCCTAGGTTTTCCCAGCTCCAATGCCATGTGCAAGGAAAAGGTTGAAAAGATGAACATTGCCAAAGAGCACTGACTGCTTAAAACTGACATGAATCCATGAGAGGACTGAACAAAAAAGAGAGGAGAGATCTATTGGAGCTGAGAAATACAGAGGAAACAAATACAGCCCAGGAAATCCCCCAACTAAATGTAGTCAGAGGTTGGGACAGTATTCAGGGGAAGTGCTTGTTCCTCCTTGTTTATAACCACTGTGTAGAAAAGATTTGGAGTTAGAGAATCCTTGTTTTGACTTAACACTGCTGCTCTTGTGTGCTTGCTTTATGCATAACTGGGCTGATACAGGCACTTATTATCACAGATGCAAATGAGCTGATACTTGCTGCAAGTAGTATCCAGAAGTGTATCCTAATCATATTTGAGTAATTATCATATATTGAATAATAAATGTATATAATATGTATGGAATATGTACATTAATCATATTATTCACCTAATGATTAAACCTACTAAGCACTGCAGTTGGTTCAGAAAAGTAACATTTTGTTTGACAGTTGCAGCTTTTGCTTTCATATCCGCTTCCTTCTTTCTTGAATTCTCTGGGAACTGAACGTAGTAAAGATAAGGATAATTTCTCTCCTGTACAACTTTAATATTTGCATTTACAATCACATAGACTGGAAAACATGTTCAAGATGACCATGTCCAACTGTCAACCTGACTATGTCCCTTAGCAGCCTTATCCATGATGATCTCAGTTTTGAGTTGATTATTTTCTCGGAAACATTTGTTTTCCTTCATGGGTTTCATGATGGAAGGACTTAGGAAGCTGCAAATCTTCACATTTGAAATTAGGCTTGATCATTAAAATAATAATTTTAAAAGCTATTATATTCTGTCTTGATTGCTTTGATGGAGACACCTCCTATTGTGCCATGTAACACCTCAATTCCATCTTTGCCCGTGTCTCTGGTGCGAACTCCACTGCACGAAATAATGCATACAGGATGTGCTGGGAAATTCTGATATAGTTTCATTAGTTGTCTTTAGGGAATAATAATTCCTGCAGAAAGGGTTTTACTTGTTCTTCAATCCCTCTTTAGGTAACTTGAAGTTATTTTCCTTGTGTCTTTTGGACAAAAATGTACTTTTCCCCACAATGTGTGCATATGACATTTTCCATTTTATTCCCACTCACTTTCATGCACAAGAGATACTGGACCAAGGCAAAAATCGTCTATTGCTGAGTCACTGTGCAACTGTACATCCTTTTATTTATCTGCAGTCAAGCTTCATAGCTGAAAGGCACAAGCGTAGATCTGTCGTTTAAAAAAAAAAAAATAATAAAAATAAAAATAGGTTTGGCCACAATGAGATTGAGTATAGGCAGTGATTTCCTGGCCAATAAAAACAAAGAGGCAGTTGGAATGAAGAGTGTTGAAATAGAATTGGTGATGTACTTTACTGTTTCATAAGCAGTAATGGTATAATTTGCAACTCTTGTGTTACTAACCACATGCAGGCAGAAAGTCACTGTTTATATGGGCAAGGATAGTTCTTCACAAAGAGCTGTGCATCCATCATTGAAGAGAATCCTTCAGAAATCAATAAAGACAAATGCTTTATTGACAGCTAAGCTGCCAACTGTAGTATTCAAGATACCTATAATGCCTGTGAATTCTGAAGCTAACATTCTGATATTGAGATAAAGTACCAAAAAGAATGGAAAAAGTATCTGTAGTCTTGTGCTTGAATATTAACTAAAATACCACTCAGGAGTGCAGTTGATGGGTTCTTCCTTCCAAAGAGTCTTCAGTCGCTGTGCCCAGGCACTAAGCATCTCCTTCCTTTTCTCCTCAGAGACGTATTCTGGAGCAAAGCAGATGTGAGGCTTGAGGACTTTGACACCACAAAAGTGCATGATGCCATGCTGAACCCGGAAGAAAGAAAGAAATGCCTTAGCAGATAGTTAGCTTTTCACTTTCAATTCTAGCATGTGGAATATTCAAGTCTAAAACTGGTTCTATGACCCTATGTAAGACAGGTTTTCTAAACCAGAGCCTTTATCAGGAGAAGGGAAATTAATTGCAGGCATTTAATATTGATCTTGGCAGTTGCTTAGTGTTGAAGGGCAGGCATTAAGCAGAATGGCATACAGTGCACTGGATATGGTCAGCTTCATTGATCCTGGTCTGTGCAATTTGTCAGCTCAACTTGCCATTTCTGTGTATGTCTGAATTCACAGCTGCTTTTAACATTCTTTATTAAGTTGATTTGCAAGATATGCAGCTGGGTAGCCTCATAAGGGCACACAGCCAGTATTCCAAATGGATAGACCAAAGAATATCTAAAGAAATTAATACGTACTGATTGTGTTATTTCAAGAAGTAGCTGGCTCAATTTGCCTTACCACCTAAATTACTCAGAGCACTTTTTCTACCTCTGACAAAAGAGCAGCAATAAGAAAAGACGTGCCAGGATAATGTGAGTGCCCTCCTGTCCCCCATCCTACATGACTCAGGTAGGTATGGGGAAAAGAAACTGTGCTAGAGCTAAAGGAAATCCTATTATGCCAGAGAAGCTAAAAGGCAAACATCATAAGCTTTCTTTAGAGAAGGTACAAAACAACTTTAAAACTCTCTGGACTTTCAAAGCAGTTGCAAGATTACAGGGCCTAGCTTGTAGATGGTTGGAATTAGCAATCTAGTTATTTCTTTTTTCTAACATACAATAAATAAATCTTATGTAAAACTAACATCAATACAATTGAATAGTAAAAATTCAGGCAAGTAAGTAACAACAACAGTTGATTTGATTTATTATACCTGCATGGGCCACAGGATATAACGGATGTCACCACTCATGCTTCCTTTTACATACATCTCCTCAGTTCCTCCAGTAGTGAAAGAAAACATAGCTAACTTGTTCTAGAATTAACAAAACAACACAGTGCTTAAGTTAGGCATGTTTAAAGAAGAGTTGCTGAACAGTTTAAGAGAGATTCAGGAAAACCTGGACATCATCAATTTCTAGGGGTCTCCTGTTTCCTAGAGCTCAGGTGTAGCAGCAGCCCAGAGTCACAGACTGAGCATATGCAGCTAGATGACGGACTGTGCATCAGGGTTTTAGGCAGAGACACATCATAAAGAAAAGGAATTGCATATACTGACACCCTTTTATGAAACAGGGCTGACCCTTGCTTTCTCTGATTAAATGTTTGGAAAATTGTGGCTGGAAAGCACTCTGTTCCTGAGGATATCTTTATTCCTTTCTCTCATGAATGCAAAAATTGAACGCTACAGACTTCATTCAGACTTGGGATTGCTTGTCTCTTTCCAAGCTGTAAATGATTTTCAAATTATTTCTCGGGTGTTCTAAAACCCATGTTTCTTCCAATTCAATGACTGTGGTATTGGCCACAGGTTTGTACCCAGCATGTGTTCTCTCTCTTAGTAATTAAAACTACATTTTTCCTGGCATGACTCAGTGCAGTATCTCAGTATCTCTTCCTTGTTGTAATCAGCTTGCAGCTATGATGATTGCAGTTTGCTCCTATTCATCTCAGTGGGGCAGCTATTTCTCAAATGTAAACCAACTGAAATATTTGGAGTAGTGAAAATCAGAAATGACAAAGATTACAGTGCACAGAAGGGCTGCTTGGAAGAATGAAGATATTGACCTTCTCTAGCCCCACTAGTCTGAACTGGTATGAATATCTCTAAGTAACAACAAAAAAACAACTGCTACAGCTGGAATTTGGAAGCATGGCACTTACATCTTTCCCCCTTGACTTCAAAATGATTCATTTTATTGTTGTTGTTGTTTTTTTTTTTTAACCTTTTGCAATGTACTGCAGAGCATTGATGTCTGGATTACATTTTGGAGGAAGATGAGGGAATGAGGCCCAGTGATGGACTGGAATATAGTTTTTGTAACTCCTTGTACTTAGTGAGAGACTATTGAGTGCTGCTCAAGATCCCTTTGGACTGACGAGTACCTCAGTGTCAAAGACCTGAACTGATGTATTAAGGTTGCTCCAAAAGTAATGCCTTCTATTTATTTTCAAGGAAACTACAACAGATACAAAAAGCATATAGTATTACTATCTCAGTGTTGCCACTCCTACAATGTACTACTCACCACCTCACTGTGCTCACAGCCCCTGTTTGGTCTCCAGAAATGTCCAGTAAGCATTGATGAATGTCAATGAATGGCATGTTTTCTGCATGGATGAATTAAGTTCCACGCCTTTGTTTCATACACACTTCCATTTCAGATGTCAGTTGGTCAGACCACTCCTCTGCTTCCATCTGTCACACAGCAACGACATGTAACAGAATACTGGAGGGAAGATTCAACCTCTACTGCCATACCACCATCTGACATTGTGGGCCAACATAATAAATTTGGAGGCATTACTTTTGGAGTGGCCCTTATAACTGCAGTGCTGAAGGCCTGAATAAAGCCAGATGCTTCCAGAAACGAGTTATTCCTCCACAGAATGGAGGACAGCTGAATGTGAGAGCTATATACAAATACAGTGGAACAGGTCATTTCCAAGCCATGCTATAGTTCTATGATTCTATGAAAAGAAAGACCGTTACCTACAGTGCACTGCAAAAATTTTGAACTTAATAAAAGTCTCAGAAACATACCTTGAGCAAACCAGAGTCATAGCAGTTTGGAAAATCGTGAGCAAATCCTTGGACCAAGACTCTGTCCATCCAGCCTTTCATGATTGCTGGCATGCTGAACCAGTATAAGGGAAACTAGGCAAAAAATGAATGACCTTGTTAGTGCAGAGAGCCTAGGGCGTCCTTAGGCCTGGTCTGTAAGCAATCTCTTGTTTTCCTAATCTGTTCAGATCTTGTATATATCTTCGAGGAAGAGAGGCAGTAACTATGCTCGGCAAAAATAACTGAAGTGCTCTGTTTGTAGTAATCTCAGGTACACAGCTGAGCAGCTGGAGTGCGTTAATACCACGGTGAATGTCAGAGCTTCCACGTGAATGGAAGTGGGAAAACGGTAGAGCTGGAAAACGTTGTTTTTCAAACTCAAGACCATACAAAATGCAAAAGGAATGTATAAGCAAATGGTTATTGTTGCCAAAATGGCCATAGGGAGACCTATTACCAGGACATCTGGTGAGCAGTTCTGATCTGATGTTTGTTAACGCCATGATGTTCTAAGACACTGTCTTGCAGCCCACTGACATGATGATCTTGAACCACCATTTTGAGAAGAAAACTTCCTCTCTTAACAGGAGGTCTCCTTTTTTTCCCCCTTCTTTCCTTATTATTATATTGTATTATATTAATTATATTATATTTTTTCTGCACCAGAATGTGCTCTGCTCCTCCCGGTACTTTACAGACAGAAAGTAGAAAGCAACTTCTTCCATCGGGGATGTTTTATGATACTTATATGAGACACAATATTTTGAAAATGATGAAAACGTGCATTGAGATACTTGCTCAGGATGCAGTCATATCCTAAATTTCACCAGGAACAGAACAGCTGAATACATGCAAGCTGTGCCTAGGCCAACAGTTTGATTACGAATTTGGTCACAGTATTTTCCTGAATATCAGCACTCTGGAGGCCAGTACATTGTGTACTTTATCCTTGCTATTGCCTGCATTTGCACAAGTACGTGACATGTTTCACTCTCTACACTGCTGACGCCGCTGTTTCATTTAGGACCTGCTCTGCACCCAGGCATCTATCTCCCATAGGGAACACTGTTTCCACATTGTGGGGCTAGTGTTACTTCCTGTGATATTTTGGGCACGCCAAAGACAGGACTACTGCAGAAGAGAGCAGAGATGAGTTGTAAAACTCAGCTAGCAAGTCCAGATGTTGCTTGTCCAACTCAGCAATGAAAGAGGGCAGTACGGTTGGGGAAGTCAGAACTCCCCAAGCTTGCTGGCTGCCCCAAACTCCTTGCTCATAAAAGAAGCCATGCCCAGCTTCTTGCTGCCTGATAATCGTGGTTAGGTACATTGCTGTGAACACAGACGTTACATTTGGCCTTGTTGCAGCAAGTTTCTGGATTTGCTGTTATAACTACTCCAATAATTGTACTCCTGATCTGTGCTTGTTCCTGTGCTATTATTTAGAAGCCTTTGTTCATATAACTGATGGTTTGGCGTTTGCTACAGTTTCCCAAACTTGAAACTGCTTACTCACATTTAAACCCTTACATTCGTGTGCATAAATCTGTGTTTGCTTTGCTTGTGCTCCAGGATGTGAGTATAGGGTTGGGCTGCATGATAATAAGGGAAACTTAAGTTTCTCTTACAGAGAAACTGTATGAACTATAGCATTTGCACTCAGTACTTTATTGTCTAGTGGAACCATGCAATTGTTTTAGAGTGCAGTGGCATAAGAAGCAGTCTTCACAAAAGCATTCTAATTGCACTGTTTTTGAATGTTAGTTTCTAAGTGAAGTGCAGGTGTGAATTTTACTTGGCTGTTTTCAAGATCTCATTTCAGATGCCTTCCTATTTGCTAAAAATGTCAGTGTGGAGCCATTATTTGTGTGAAAAATTCATACTGTACTAGCACAAATAATACACTCAATCTGATATGGTGTGTATTTTTGATGTTTTCTGAAATACACACCATATCAGAAAAAACCTGACACCTTGAAATTGCTATGCTGGGTACAAACTGTTTATGTTGATTGCTGAACTGCTGCCTGTTTTCATTCTGGCTAGAATCAACGTACCTAATGAAATCTGTAATCTTCTCACTTACTATTCCTTTTAGGCTGTTCAGCCCTGTACATTACAACAGAAGTATTTGAATGCAATTTAAAATAATGACCTGAAAAATCAGTAAGTCTGCTTCCTGCACTTTCTTTTGCTCTTCAATCAAATCATTGGACAAACATCCTTTCTTGTAAGCTTCTGTCGTCTCCACTGCATAACTGAACTCGTTTGAGTTGTGCAAGCAACCTGTGGAGAGAAGGGCACAGTCATTGCTTACTCCATCCACAGCACTGTAGCCAAGTAAGAATCTAATACATGTTGTGATCTGCAGTTCTAAAATGAGTTACTGCTTGCCTTTTTTTCCCCACTTACATTTCTTTTCATGGCTATTCAGTATCATCACAGCTGATAGATGATGACCTGACTGTAAACTGGGGAGGAATGTATGACCTCCGAGTACTGAAACTTTCACCTTTCTGAAATAACATGTGATGTGCAAAAAGAAGACCTAATCTGGTGATACAGGTGGATGATTTAAGAAGATGTATGAGAATTTTGCTAATTGTTCTGTCTCTGCATTAGAGATTACTGAAACCGCAGTCACAACACTATGTAGCTGCTCTTCAGTTTCTGTGGCAACTCAGCAGAGGCTGGGTGGTTCCACAGCCCCAGTATCCATTGGCTCTGCTGGCTCCATCAGGTATGTCCAAATCAAACTACGCATCCGTTCCTGCTGATTGAATTAGCAGTTCATCAGTGTTTAGCAAAAGGACTGGTTAAAAGTATGGGAAGGTGGAAGTATTAACCTCATAAACTGAACTAAGTAAGTTGTACAATGATATCTGAAGGCATTTCTCGCCCAAGAGAAATAGACTTCAGATGAGAGGTTAATTCTGAACAAGTGCTAATGCAATTCTGTCTCTCAGTAATCTCACTGTGAGCCAAGGGTCATGCCCAGGAATGGACTTTTAGAAATGCTTAAGTCTTGCATTCTCACTGTTGATAAGCATCTTCTTCTTTCTTTGCCAGTATTCACCTTAGACCTGCGATATTTCTTTTTGATTCTTGCTCTAAAGAAAGACTGTCAGTTCTCATAGATGGTGTTAAAGTTTTGTTTTTCTTGACTAGAAAAACTACTATGGCTAAATGCTATTAAATAGTTGTGAGATGCCAAAATGACTCACAAGCCCATGCACTTAAATGCCTGGAGCTAATCTGCAGAAAGAATTTGTAATATTGTTCATTAAAGAGAGGTTGTTCTTCGAGTGTCTCTTCAGTTGATTGCAAATACCAGGAAAACAATGGCATCCCTGATTCCCTTCTATAGACAGAACACTGTTTTACAGGTCTGTACTATACAGATGATTCGTCTTTCTAACTGAGGGGGCACTTCTAAGGTATATTAAAAAAATAGGTGATACTTACACTGACATTTCTTGATCAATGGTTGCAGAAAATAAAAATCAGAGTCTTGTTAGTTGAGTTATATTTGTACAGAATTACAGCAACTGTTTTTCAGAGTGCACCTAACAGCATGGGCTCTAGATTGTTAATGCAGCAGGATGAACAAGATGCAAGTTTGTCTCATTGCTACTGTTGAAAAATTTCTCACCAACAATGTCATTTCTTGTTGCCCGTGGCTCAAATTGCATTGCATATAAGTCAGACACTGTGACACTGCAGCCCTGTTTGCTCAGTTCTTCCACAGCAACCGTCTTCAAAGATCCATTAAAAGAGTTGGGCTCTTGATGTGCATAGACTATCAGGACTTTTCTCCCTGGAGGCAGAAAGAAGAGCAGAGGACACCTTTGAGATAGGCAAATACAAAACAGTTTCTGTGCTGTGTTTTCCAAGCAGCACCAAACTAGTGAAAATCACAGCAACAGCATTTGATTCCTGCTTGACAGAAGTGACTCATGAGGAAGTAATCAGTAAGTGCTCCTGCAACAATTCTGTGCTATGCTGGGTTTTCCTAGGTGGAACTCAGTGGACAGTGGGTATTTCATTAGCAGGCCACGCTGCCCTACACCAGCTCAACTAAGGGCATTCCAGTTTCTCCTCTGACAAGGTCCTCTTGAATCAGCTTTTGTGTTTGGCTGATTCTGCTACCACCCCACAAAACACCCTGCAACAGGAAACAAAAATAGCCTTCTGTTGGCTTAGCTCCCTTAGCTGGCTAGACAGGCCACAGCAATTGTGCAAACAGGGTAGGATCAAAGCAGCACCAACTTACACGTCCTCCAAACTGCTGTAGAAACGATTTCTGGGAGCTTAGAGCACCTTCCTGTGGGTTCTCTCTACGTCTTCTGTTTTAGTGCTGTGTGAGTGACAACATCAGATATTTAGATGCCACTATCGCACTTCAGTGTCTTCATGGGGACACCAGCAAAAAGTGACATGATTTTTCTTAGTGTGCCAGTGAGCTTTCTGGTTTATGTCAAACTGCCAACAGAGTGTATTTAAGCTAAACTGAACGGCAAGGCAGATATGGTGGGATGTGGCTTCAGAAAGAGCAGCGAGGCAGTGGCACAGGCTGCCCAGGGAGGTGGTGGAGTCACCGTCCCTGGAGTGTTCAGGAAACATGTGGATGTGGCACTGAGGGCCATGGTTAGTGGGCATGGTTGATGGTTGAACTAGGTGATCTTAGCAGTCTTTTCTAACCTTAATGACTCTATGATTCTATTCTCTGAAATTTCCAGGTACTATAGAAAAAGACTGAATACGCAAAACGAGCAGCTCTCAGTTCCCAGCTGGCAATATGTAATTCAGGCATCTCATGATTTCATTTTCTCCAGTGGTTTGTTGCCCTTGAAGTGCAGCTGTGGGCACTGTGACACCATGTTTGGGGAGACTGGAGTTTTCAAACGCATCCTTCGCTGAGGGAATTGAGGTGACTTGACAAAATAACAGCTTAGTATCACAAGTCAACACTACAGGCATTCCATACCCCAGCCTGCCGAGGGTCTAAGTGAATCGCGTTTGTATCAGTAGTTATTCTTACCTGCCATTCTCCAGTAGCGCTTGGAAGGCTCTGTCCTGTGACTCCGATACAGCCTGTAAGCTCAAACCACGCGTTCGTTTACGTGAGGAACACCAGCAGGAGGTAGACGAAGATCTCTGCCCCGTGCGGTCTCTGTCTGCAGGAGCAGGGCGGGGGGCCCGCAAGCAGATCTTGTGTGAGCTCTGCCGAGCAGACAGAGCGCTGTGCGAGGACGGCCTTCTTAAATCTCTCCTCGCCCCACGGCTGGCAGAGAATCGTGCTTGCGTTTCGGCCTTTCTTCCTGCTGCTTTTCCAAACCCCGTTTCAGACCCACTCGCCGCTCCCTACCGTCGCTGCAGCGCAGACCCCGAGGCGGCTCCGCACCGCTCCCCGCCGTGCTTTGCCCGCAGCGAGTCCTCCCGGCCCTCCCGGCGGCTTCCGGAGGGCCGGCCCCTATGCGGGGCGGGCCATGGTCCGGGACTGTGGATGCTGCCGGCGCTGGAAGCGTTGGTTATGCTGCACGTTGTCATTCCCGTTGTGTTTACATGTATAGGTGTATGTATGTGATGATCATGTGCTCGTGTTCTGCTGTAAAGGGCGATGCTCGTCGCTGGCTACAGCAGCTCGGTGATAGGTACACCCACACCTGCACCAACCCTGTGTGTAGAGGGGTCAGAATGACTCTTCGGGGTTTCCAAATGGAGAATCTGAGGGGAAAACCAAGCGTTTGACTGATCAATAAGCACCAGAGCTACCTGCGTCCTCCTGCAGTGAGAAAATCTCTGTGCAAAGCTTGTACCACTGGCATTTTTCACCTGCTGCCCAGATTATGGGAGACACAAAGTCAGTTTGTTTTCCTGTTTGCCTTTGGACAAGCCCCCTTGTAAAGATTTCAGCAGCCTGGTTCAGGCATTTCTTAGAAATCGAATGAGTACATTTTTCAGAGCTTTAAGAGAAAGTTCAGAGGTTTTAAGAATCTATTTACTTTTGCTGTTTGGGCAACTGTGTAAGATGGAATGGAGTTTCTTACGGTCTCTCTTCCATTTCTTTTGCATCCCCCTCATTTTTAATGTTATTTAGTTCCCAGTAAAGTGTTAAGAGTGGCTCAGACATCCTCAAAGGGCAGCGTACACCTGCAATGAGAATTTCATTTTGCAGGTTGGAAATCTCTCTCTCTGTTTCTCTTTCCCCCCCCATTGCATTTGATATCTCTCTTCAGTCTTTTCTTGTAGCAAAAAAAGAATGTTTTTTTTTACTTTTTCCTATAAATATGTTTCTCACTCTAAGGAATTCATTGCTAATTATCAATGAAAAAAGTAGCAGTGATTAAAATGGAATAAAATTCTCCTGTCCCTGTCAGTTATCCCTGAGCATTGACTGAGTTGGACCTGATAAGAAATATGTATATTTGTAGCTTATCTTACTTTTGATTGGCACAGGCTGTTCTCCTCTCTAATATACAACATAGATCCTAAGAAAATAACAATGGCAGTAGGGATTCAGACCAAAGGCCTGTTTAACTTCGTATCCTGTCTTCAGCTCTGCTCACAAGTAGCTTCCTTCAAAAGAGTAAGGGCAGGGTAAACATGTAGGATATTTGCCCCACTGCTTAGCCTGCAGATATCTTCACCTTGGACCTGAACAGTTTGCATGGTAAACTTCAGTTTACCTCTCTGTTAAGTACTTTGCCTGATCTCCCTATGAATCCATGCCAATTCCTTAAATTTGCAATGTTCTTAGCAAAAACTTTCACAGACTTGCCTTCTGTGTGAAGAACGATCCCTTTTGGCTGTTCTGCATCTGGTTCCTAACAGCTTCAGTTGATGCCCCTTTGTTCTTGCACAGGTCATGACAGTGAACGACAGGCCATCATTGCTAGTGCCCTATGACCAAAGGTGATTTGCTGGACTGGGGTGCAAGGTACAATCATCTTCCTTGGAAAGTAAATAAAATAGATTATAGCTACACAGGAATGATTTTAGTTTCCTTATAATTTTCTGAGGAGTAATACCAAGTTTATTGTGCATGTGGTTATTTCTCTTCAGTAGTGTGTTAAAATTTTAAAATATGTGTCCAAAGGACATCTGTTGTGCCCTCTAGTGCTTAGTGCAAGGGTTTGCACTTTTATCAGGGTGGTTAAAGTGAAATGAAGCCTTCATCAAGGGCAAGTTTTTTTTTATCTTTAATGCAGGTTCTCTTCCAGAGGAAATGTTGAAGAACCTTTGCCACAGTGAGAATAAGCAGTAAGGAAAAATGGTACATATCACTGCATAGGAGAAACTCTCTACAAGATTAGTTTTCAGTGAACATTCTAGAGACAGTAGTTCTAAAGCTGCGAATGCTGAAATTCTGCACTGTACCATCATACGTGTCTCTATAACACTGTTGTTACTCCTGTGGTTATTTTGTGAGGCAATGAAAAGGAGACAGTCAACCTCATATGGGTCTCTCTCTCCAAAGCAGTAGATTTGACAGGCTTCAATAACAGGAAGGAAGGAAGCAGGAAGACTACGTAACTAACAGCCTCTTACTGTGACCTGTTTTTCTTCTCAGCCTCTGTCTGGGAGTGAGTAACAGAAATTGAAAACGGTAACCTCTTGTATTAAGAATTATACAGTATCTCTAAGTGAATAACAAAGCATCAACGAGGACAGTGTCCTGGGAAGCAATTCCGATTACTCATTCAGCTTGTTTTTAAAACTCGTAATGTTAAATATTTAATAATGCTCAAATGTTTTAGAATGCTTTCAAATATATATTTAAGGCTTTATCAGTTTGAAACTTAACTGCAACTTCTCCTAGCAAGTCTTCGCCAAGGTATTAGGGGAGCAGTTAGGCAAGTACCAATCTATGCAGTGCATAAATTTAATAAAATGAAAGAATCTCCTGATTTAGAAGGGGCCCACTGTGGTCATTGAGTCCAGCTCTGTCCTCTGCATTTACATTACACAATCATTACCTAAAATTGTCCTGGGAAAATTCTAGGTCAGAAAGTTTGGGCCAGATGGATTTAAACATTACACACTAGACAAGAGAACAGTTTATAGGGCAGAAACTTTGAGCATAGGCAGATGGGAGGTAGCTACAAACTCTGCTGAATCGCTCCCTCTGTCTTAAGGTTTGCCTATGCATAGAATATAAACTATTATTATTATATTATTTTTGGTTTGTACCAACTACTATGACAGCAGTGTTTGTTCTATGAGTAAACTATAGCTACAGGTGAAATTCAGGTTATATAGATGTTTGTCTGATAGAAAAAAAAAGCTGCCCAAGAAGGGTTGGTTGTGGTAATGTAATAGCAAAATGAAGCAATGAAAATGAGTCCTGAAATACATTTGGAAGATGGCATTCATAGGGTGAACACACACGTACATATTGTATCTGCCAAACACAAGGAGGGCTTTGACTAACTCCCTTTTTGTTTTGCTGCTTCAGTGAGAAAGAAGACAAGACATTGGTACACGGATCTATTGCTCACTGTATTTTAGCAATTTAATTTGGAAGTATATTCTCAGCACTGTCTTGCTCACTGTTTCCAATACCAGGCTGTTAATGTTGATGTTAGGTAGGAGACTGCACACTAAAACTTTTTTCTTAGAATTACAGCATTTGCTGAATTGGAAGGGACCCATAAGGATCTTCGAGTCCAATTCCTGGCTCCACAGAGAACCACCTGAAATCCAAACTCCACGTCTGACAGTGTTGTCTAAATACTCCTTGAACTCCAGTGCTTGGGGCTGTGCCCACTGCCCTGGGCAGCCCATTCCATGCCCACCACCCCCTGGTGCAGAACCTTTCCCTAACCCACACCTGACCCTCCCATGATGCAGCCTCATGATGTTCCCTCGGCTCCTGTCGCTGTTTTATGTCCTTCTCATATGATGGCACTTAAACCTGCACCTAGTGCTGGAGGTGCAGCTGCACAGCACAGTGGGCAGCCCCTTCCTTGGTTTGGGCCTGATGCACCACAGTGTATGTTTGGACCTTTGGTCTGACAGGGCACTGCTGTCTGAGATTCAGTTTGTCATCAGCCAGAACCCCCAGATCCTTTCCATGGGGCTGCTCTGCAGCTTCTTGTCCCCCAGTCTGTACAGACATCCAAAGCTGCCTCGCACCAGGTGCAGAAACTGGCACCTGCTCTTGTTAATCTTCATGTGGCTGGTGGTTTCCCAGTCTGCTAATTTGTCAATGTCTCTATTCAAAGCACCTTTTGTATCTGCTGATACCAAAGTGCAATTTAGCAGTTCTGTGTAATTATGTGTTCATCCTCTGCTATAACAGGCTTCATCCAACAACTAGTCTCCATTTTGGCCTCATTTTTGTAATTTAGAAAAGCATTAACTTGAATATGCAAACAGAGTGTTAGCTTGAGGTATGGCCTTTTCTCCATAATAAAAAAATATAAGTCTCACATCTGAGGTAGGAAATAAATTTGAAGTGCAGTATCTACAAAAACAAGCCTTCCAAGTTCATTTGTTTGATTGCTTGTTTTTTCATCTAAAGGAAGAATTATTACTCTGAAAAATTTACTCCTATGTCTCATTCTCCTCCGATGAAAACAAATCATTAAAACTCTGTGTGGAGTTAGTATTCAAAATGAAACAGGTGGAAATATAGGGTATCTGTAGACTTAAAGGTACCTTCTCAGAAAACCGTGCTCACATGTATTCATGTTTTTAGTATCACAGCTAATGCATTGCTGCTTCTAGTTCAAGTCATTTGCACCAGTGCCTTTCCCTGAAATGTAAACTCCTTAGATACTCTTTAATGTTCATCCTAATCTGCATTTCCATGAACAACTGCAAGAAACTGAGAGACAGTGCGTTCACACCCTGTTGCCTTTCAATCACAAGTGAGGCAAAGACATACTGCCTCTGCCTTGGCAAATATTCTCATTATTCAGATACAAAGGCAAATCCTAGATCTGCTGTCTTCTATACACGAAGATTGAAGTGGTCAGATTTGACATTTCAGTCTGTGTTCAAATGAGTATCTCAGGCCAGACTTCTGAATCAAAAAGTGCAAGACAGATTACTTACTTATAAGTAGCAAAACTGTCCTTCTGTGACAAGGATGAGCTCAAGGATTATTGAAAAACAAATGAAAAGACAACGCAGTTGCTGGTCACAGCCAATACAAGCTCATGTGGGGAAAGTCCTGTTTAATTAACTTAATCTCTGTTTATGGCAAGGTTACCCACCTGGTTGACCAAAGGAAGCCAATTGAAGTAATCTTTTTGGATTTCAGCAGTGCTTTCAATACTGTTCCTTACAATACCCTTATGGACAAAATATCCAGCATAAAGCTGGACAACAACATAATATGAAGGTTAAATTATTGACTGACAGGTTGGGATCAAAGGGTTCTAATAAATGGGCTTACATCAGGCTGGCAGCCGGTCACTAATGAGTGGGCTCCTTTTTAGGGTGAGTTCTCTTTAATGTCTTCATCTTGTCTTGGATGTGTCTTGGATAAAGGATGTGAAGGTGTAAGTAAATTTGCAAATGACTCTAGACTGGGAGCAGCTTTTGACTCCCTTGAGGGTAGAGGGACCTCACAAAGAGATTTTGACAAATAAGAGGTCTGGGAAATCACCAAACACATGAAGTTCATCAAGAGCAGGTGCCAAATTCAGCACCTGGGTAGGGGCAACCCTGGATGTCTGTACAGATTAGGGGAAGAGAGGCTGGAGAGCAGCCCCATGAAAAGGGAACTGGATATTCTGGTTGACAAGTTGAATCTGAGTCAGATTATTATACAGAAGACATAATTCTGGGGGTAGGCTCCTATGAATTTATGCACACAACTAATCTCTAAAGCTTCAACTGGAGTAAAGAAACAATTCATAATCTTCAGCGTTCCAACATTATTTTGGCCTGTGGTGAACATTAGAAAAGGGAGTATAGTGCTTACCTAGCCCAAGCCCAGAAGAGGGTGCTGGAGAGCTGAGAACACACTTCTGAAAGCATTAAGTCACTGAAATATAGTGAACAGTAGATCCATGTACCAACCTTCTTTCTCGGCAGATCAGTAAAATAGTGAGTCAAAGTCTTTCTTGCATTTGTAGATACAAAATGCGTGTGTATGCTGATGTCAAGTGTGGCATCTTTCAAATGTATGTCAGGACCCATTTTCATTGTTTCATTTCTGTGCAATTCTGTTGAGCAGCTATTTTGTTACCACAACCAACCCTTTTTGGGCTATTTTTATACCAGAAAAATATCTATATAATGTGAGCTTCGCCTAACATACAGCACTTTATGCATAGAGCAGATATTATTGCTATAGTATAGGTAAAAAACAAGAACAGTGTAGTAATAATTATATACATTAATGATAGCATATGTTCTCTTTATAGGAAAACTGGTACTTAGAGACTGAGGGAGTGATTCAGCAGAACGTGTAGCCATCTCCCATCTGCCTATGCTCAAGATTTCTGCCCTGTAAACTGTTCTCCTGTCTAATGTGTAATGTTTAAATACATCTGGTCCAAACTTTCTGACTTAGAATTTTCCCAGGACAATTTTAGGTAATGATTGTGTAATGTAAATGCAGAAGATGATGCCTGGAGAGATAGCAGTGGTCCAGATTTCTCCTCATTGCAGTAACAGACATAAACCATCAGGCTACAGTCTTGCTGCTTGTGAGCTGCCAGTTTCTCAACTCTATTCTGCACATTGAAATCACTTCAGCCTGGGGAGATGCCTTACCTTCCCCCCATTCTTAATTTCCTGCTCAGCTGTAGTACCATGCATTTTGAGGGCCAAGGTGCACTGAAGTGTGAAACTTGTGACAAAATGCTGGGTTGCACAGCTTGAAGTTCAGTGTTAGTCATGGGGCTGTAATACAGAGGAAAATTAAAAAGTGGTACCCATGCATTCTGGAAAAGATAGATGCCTGCTTCTGGGCATGGGGAGGCTGTGGCTATTTATTCCCTGAGGGTGTACCAGAATGTTAGAGGAAGGAGATAGCTGAAGACCTATTCCTGGTATTAGCTACTGTTGTTTTCACTATTGCCTAAATGCAGGAACATTGCCTTTATGTCGCCCTCTGCCTCAAGGCATCTTTGCCTGGATATTTGTTTCAGCTGTTCTCTTTGAGCTGTCCTGATTCTAGCTGCAGCTGGCCAAGATCATCCCCAGGGACAACTGGTTTTTGGTGAGAGAAGAACAGCAGCTTGGATCTCAACCTCTCAGTCCCCACAGGTCAGCTCCTAAGCGCACCTGG